TTCCTTTATGGTTTTCAGTACCTTCCAAGTTTTCTATGCTGTGTGCGCTTTCCTGTTAAAATCAGATGATAATGTTTAAAATACTGATATGCCCATTTCGATATGCCATGTGTTCACACTCACATTAAAAGAGACTACACAGCAAAAGGACCGGACTGAGAGGACCACGATGTTGGTGCCGCCACCAGTGGGAGTCAGGGTCAGGAATTGCTTTTCTTCCTTCCTCCTACGCTTCCAAATACCCTCTGATAAACCTATTACACTTGTAGTGGAAGACTTTTTTTTTCTTACAATTTTTAAGCCATGTGCTTTTAAGATCTGGATTCTCATCCTGGCTGTGCCTCTTCCTGAATAATGTGATTTAATGATCTCAGATATTCTCAGAGCCTCAGCTTCCCCATCTTCGAGAAAGAGGTTAATGCTTACTTCATGGGGTAGTTCTCAATATGAAAAAACGTGTTGGTATAATAAGCACCAGTAATGTTTCTGTTTGTTAAATTTAAAACTGGCCTGGTTTGCTCTTTTTTGCAAGAGCGTAACAGATGAAACCGTGAAATTCGCCTCTTTTCTCCCTGCCAGCAGATTATGTGTCTTACTTCAGGACACAGTGTGAGCGTTACCATTCAGATGATCAGTTCGTTGTCAACCAATGAAAAAATAAAACATTTCTGAACATCTTCTGCCTCATTTCACTTGGTTATTTTTTTTCAAATATTGCTAAAATATATTAATTTCATAAGTATTCAACCTTAGCGTATGTATCTGTGTCAAGTATTCACACCTGGGCTGCATTATCAGACCATGAGGCAGCCTGCTTTCTATTAGTGGTGACTCTGGGTTTCATTCCAGATACACTGTTTGTGAGGCCACAAAACTTGCTTGAGCCTGAGAGCTGTCCCACAAAGGGCCAGAGAGGACTCAGGACAAGGAGGGAGGGGACTCACCCTCAGTCCCAGCACCTGCTGTTGGCTTTCGACTCACCAGAATCCCATGAGGAAGTGACAGTTTAAGGAAATGGTAATGCCCTGGGTGACTAATGTGGTAAGGAAGAAGGCCCTTGCTAGCCCAATGTTACGGACCATATTTGACATATCCCACCGCTTTGGTTAAGTCCCAAGGTATGCTGCTGCATCAGTCTTGGTTCTGAATTTGCTTTTGGATAAATGCTGAAGTATCAACAAAACTGTGTCCCTGGAAATATTCAATTAATTCCATTTTAATTACTGATACCTCGTAGCAAGGCTCCTTATCTCCTCCACTTCTGCTTTCACGGTTTCTTTCTCAAAGCATGGAGCCTAGTTTTCAGTATGTCCCTGCCCTTAGAAAGTTTCCTTCCCCTTGACAAATTTGACATATCCGTCCCCTTTCTTTAATTACAGCCAAAGTCTTCATTACAAGTGAATCTCGGGTTGCCCCATTTCTATTTTATGTTGGGTTCTGTGTTTCATTCATTATATACTTTCAGTGCAGCCTCACCCAATTCTTAAAACTGTTTCTTGGTCTATTCTTAAAGCATCTAGCTGGAGCATGGTCAAGCTGTGAGCCCAAGCTGGACTACTTCAGTTATTTGGAGATTTAAGTTCCTCAAAAAATGCCAACTCAAAGCTTTAATTTTAATTTTGGAGATGTGTGCTTTTAGTCCTGTGTTGCAGGAGATAAAGTACCTATATGTAACCCTTTTCAAGCACTCTGTAGGGATGTGGCTACAGGAAGCCAGGTGCTTCCTTGAGGACAACTGGCATAGATTTGCACCCCAGCAGTCCTATAGGATTCATCACAGCCTGCACTCCCGCTGAGCCAAAGTGGAAGGGGACTCCCTTTTCAGCATGATGTTCCAGGTGCTGCCTTTGGTCCATGAGGGGCAACATGAGCTAAAACTTCTGCTATCCCAACTGACTTTGCTTTTCTTAGCTGAGTGTCTTACTGTTTCAGTGTTCACCTGAATTATTCTATGCCTAAAATGTTATAAGAAATGCAGCTATATGTAATCAGAAATTTTTTTAAATCTCATAATAAATATACAAATCCTTAGTCAATGACTTCTCTTTTTCTCACGTTAAAACAAACAGTACTTTGACGACCTGTAACTAATTTTGTCCTCAGCAGGCTGTGAGCTGAAGACAAGAAAACTAAGGGCCAAGGTGAAGACCAGAGGATGAAACGGCTGTGGGAGAGGCAGACAGCTGGGTGGACCAGTTTTTTAGGCAGTAGACTCATGAAGCTAGGCGGAGTCCGTCCAAGGCCCGATGCTTTAGAGTGTGACATGGGTTGAGCCGCCACCGGGGCTCTCGGTCAGGATACAGGAAGCGGATCCATCGGGGGCCCGGGAGGAAGTGCCTATGAGGCAAGGCAGGAGACTCGGCCTGCCACCCAGCTGAGGAAATTGTCCAACGGAGTGAGCGGCCAGCCTTTGCTAAAGGGTCTCTTGTTTCTCATCATGCTGATGGGCCCTTCCCGGACAGCGTGGACGAGAAAAAGAAGAAACAACCCCCTAACAGTACCTGACAGGCTTCCTAAAGACAAACGGTGACAGGGAGAAAAACAGGATTGAAGGGAGCCCGGCATCAAAATAACATAAAATCTTTTATTGAAAGTCACTTCATTGGTGTTACAATGACAGTAACATAGAAAACTGGTATCTTTTCAGCTTCAGAAGTGAGTTACTAATAAAATGGTGCCAGAAATTTGAACAAGTTACAGCGACCTTTAAAAACAGTAAGATTTTGTTTACCTACAATATAAGAACAACTTGATAACTTGAACAGCCATAAAACACATCATGCCTGCTCAGGAAAGCAGTTACCATATACATTTCAGTTGGTGATTGCCCAAACCCAGTTACCTTTAAAATAGCTTAACCTGAAGTGCAGAGGAGCAGAGAGAATATATTAAAATGAAGCCAATCTTAAGTATATACACAGGATCACCTGGTTACCAAAAGTGAAATCATGCTGCTGTTGACACTTGCCCACGAAGTGGCTTCCACTCTGTAAATGGGTATCACCCCTTAGAGATGACGGTTGTGGGCAACACTAACGCAGACCTACCTTGGCTAACCTATAAACTGCTATGTTTAGGTAGAATGCCCAGTTTCTAAAAGAAGTTGTCTTTTTGGGGATGCTAGATTGGAGGGGCACGTGTCTTCCAGCAGGTTAAAAAGGGACATACGTGCTTAGTTACCCTGAATAAACCTTTTGTTAAGCGCTTTTGAAGTTAGTGTTAAAAAAAAAAAAAGTTTTCCATATAAAACAAAGGTGTTGGGTCGTTTTTGCCCATTAAAAAGACCAGCTGTAGAATCACAGTCGGATATTGTGCTGGATTAGAAAAGAAAAGTGGGGTTTCTAATCAGGCAGTGATATACATGTATAATTTAGCAAGAATTCTTGTATTATTACTGAATAAATTATTAATTCATATCAGCACTTTCCATAATGTGTTATCTGGTATAACTTAGCACCGCTGTGTTTAAAGATTTGGGGGCTAGTCACATTATTTTAGAACTTAAACATTAGAACACAAAAATCCACCTCTGAAACTTTTTAACTGGAGAGGAAACTGTCCTTCATAAACTCTTTGAAAACTTTACTGATGATTTTGTAAGTGCCTTAAGACCGCTCGTCTCATTGCATGCCTTTTTGTAAAAAACAAAAACACCCTACATTTTCCCTGGTTTTGATTTCAAAGATACCTGAAAACATGAAATGATGCCGTGGAGCAAAACTCTGCCAGCCTTGCTTGAAGCACCTCTCAGTACAATACAGGTTTTATGAATAACGCAGCAGGGACGCACCAGGCAAGAATGACTGGCCCATCTTGGACTGGCCCATTAAGTATTTATAGAGCCAACCACTCAGGAAAACTGCAAAGCTCACGGGTCTATTGCAGGCACTCGAGTAGCCCCCGTCTCCACCGCACCCCCAGTAACCACCTTCTGCACGCCTGGCTTCTGAGTTCATGCGCGTCTCCATTCTGCTCCTATGCCAGGACTAAATGCCCCATGACCTCCCAAGGCTTGCTTCCTATCCCCTCCCCATCCTGAAACACACCTGAGGACCAATCTCTCTGTGACTTCTGAAGTTGCATAATCCACGCCCAGTTGCCAAAGGGAGGAGACTAAAGGTGCCTCTCTCCCCGCTATTCTGCACCCCTGTGGTTCTCCCCAGTGCCAGTTTAGCTGGGAAAAAAAGGGACTTACCTCCATGACAGTGACAGTTCCTAGTCAGAAGAAAAGGGCTGACAAGCTACTGGTGGGGAACAACTTGGGAAGTGGGAAGGGTCTGGAAGCATCTCTCGAACTCCATAGAGAGGATGCTTACTGTTCGTCAGGCCCTGGATATAAAGGACAAAAATACTAGGCAGGTTCTTGTTTCTGAATGTTTTGTTTTTCTACTTATAAACTGAACCAGATGGCACTCCATTTTGGGGGCTCTGACAAAGCCATGAATAAAATGTGGACAGAAATATTATGCCCTGATTTGTAAAGTCTGCATCCAAAATCAGAGTAGTTTTATCCATTCAGAAAACAACTGAGGGGAAAAGCAAAAAAACTGAACCTCAAATTAAGCTCTATTCCATACAGATGTTTGCTTCTTATATATATTTAAGCTAGCAGAATGAGAAATTCACCTTGACTCCACTGAACAACAACAAAAACGTGGGTGACGGTTTTAGGGGATCACCTAAGAAGTGAAAGGAAAAAGACCATTAGGACCCTGAAACGTAGACGGTACGCCCGCCAATGCAAGTCAGAGCATTTCCTGGAAAACTGATGGGAACTTACTGGTAGGGTGGCATTTCTAATACGCTGCGCATGGGAGCGCCCTTGGCAGTGGCTAGCAGTGGTGTCCTGGTCAGGCTCTGGCTGCGATGGGCTGGCCATTCTTCGTCCCTTCACTCCCATCATGCGGTGACACATCTCTGTGCCCCCTGGCCACTTGGCATCCTCCCAATGAACTACCCTTCCTTCACGTAGAAGTAGAATAAAGTAAAATAGTCTTCTCTTCAGGTAAGGATTTATTATCATGTTGAACAACACAAGGGAATATTTAAAAACACTAAATATATAGGTTAAAACAGAACTACATGACAACAGGAAATGAAGGATGGATGAAATAAATAAACAAGCTTGATTTCAAAACACTTAAAGTGAGTAAAAATACCGTATTTCCTCTGGCCCACAGGTAATTATAAGAAGTAAAGAACAAAATCTAAAAAAGCAAAAGGAAAAGTAGCCACAAGAGATCTGGAACAATGGGCAGGAATAAATTATGCAAATCTGCAAGGGAATCAATGGAAAAAAAAAAAAGAAATGTAAGGCTGTTATGAAATTCAAATATATATAGTCCCTTTTTGGAAGTGCACAAAAGATCTAATTTTATCAGCGACTTCTTTTAGAAACCCTATCAATCTTATGTTCAGAAATCTACACTAGACTGACTTTATATATGAAGACAATTTTAAAAGCCTTTTTAAAGCAAGGGGAAAATGAGAGAAACTGTAGTACCACTTCATAAAGCACCTATCTCAAACTAAAAAGTATGTTTGGCAATTTAACCCTACATTTACTTTATTAGTCAATTTTTTTTTAAGGAACATCACTGGGTTTCTTATAGAGCAACGACACTAAATTGAAAACTCTCGCTATGCTGCACTGTTTGAGTTTACTCCTTTCCACAGATTTGCAGGTGACCGGGGGATCACTTTCCAGTTGGGAGACTACAGAGGAGGATGCCACTTCCTGACTAAAGAAAGAGTTGGCTGGACACAGACCAGTCAGTCTGACCCGTTTGTTCCTTCAAGGGCTCCCTCTTCCCCCCAACCCCCTTTTTGGCATTCTTAATATAGAGATTTCAATGTTGCTTTAAATCCGAGTTTGCTCTTCTGCAATGTCTATGGACAAACGGAACATCTCAGACAGCAGGTTGTTAATCTGAAGTTTTCTCTAAGCACACAACTTTAGAAAGAGAAGAAAAAGGCATACAATGGAACAGAAAGGCCAAATAACTGCTCTCCTCTGCTTAGTAGAATGGTCCTATAGTTGTCTGGGGGCTATAAATATTAGTTGAATACAAACTGCAATGGTGACCTCAAAGTTCCTCTCCAAAAGAGATAATAAAAAAATAATAATGCTGTGCTTCTGTTTGGTGCCTTAGGTCCATTTTCCCTGCCTCGGTGGATGAAAAGTCACAAATATTTAGATTTAATACATCTAAATACCAACCATGACTACACATGGAAGTATTTCTCAAAACTACCCATTGAGATTATGAACTTGTCAAAGAATTCTGCAAATGGCTGTAAGAATGTTCAAACATTCTTCGACAGATACCCAGAACATTAAAGCTACTCTAAAACCATAATCTCCCTGCAAATAAAACAAATGCTTTTCATTCAGTTCCATATGAACGTTAATATCAAGGAGGATGACTATAAGCACCCATGTCTCTCAAAAGGGATGTAACAATAATTTTCACTCGGAATAATAATTTTCATGTAAAAATAATTGAGAAAGCAAGGAAAGGGGGGGTGAGGGGATCTGTGGACAAGTAGCTCACCATTTGTGAATTCTTTCAAATGAGGGTTTGTGTAACCGTAACTAAGAAGCATATTTACACAAAGTACCTTACATTCAAATCTATAAACTCTTTTATAGTCAAAATAAACCTTATAACATTAGCATTTTATACACTCAATACCAGAAAACATTCAGTGCACATGAAAGTGATCTTGGTCAAAGCCACTTTATTTGCTACATTTTCAAATCTGTCTGCCCTCCTGTCCCTCACTTGAGCTATGTGGCATGGTCACCCGACACTCACCCAAATCTTAATCTGATGGATCATTTTATTGTAGAATCGATGATCACATCCCCTCCTGCCATGAAAAATGCTCTTTATGCTTTATAGTTTCAAGTGATTAAATTGCTTGTCAAACGTTTTTAAAGACTTTCAGAAGAGAGGTCCATTACAGAAGACATAAATACATAGAGGATCAAACACTGCCTCTAACATGGCCCTTCAGTTCGGGCATCTAAGATGACTACACATGGAGATGAAGTGGATTTTGACCATGGACACGACTGGGAGAGATCCAATTTAGAGGATATTTCTGAAATCTTGTCTGCAGATTCCATTCCTCTCAAGAAAAAGGAGAGAAAATGAGGAAATTCAGAAGTACTCTTCACATCAAAGCGTCAGACTGATTCCCAGCAATTTCTGAGTTCACTAGAGTAGCCTCCCCAGGGAAGTTTTCTTTTAGAATGACAGAGCTGCATTATAACAGCTTATCGAACTTTGGCTTTAAAGAAGGGACTTGAACATAGACTTCTTACTTTTCTAGGAATTAAAAAAAAATAAGAGTTCAAAACCTCAGACTCCTTTCCCTGCCAACTGCTGGGGTAACTTCACAGTTGCTGCACACTTATGTGTTAGGATTCTTCAAACGTTCAATGGCCCGGAGAGGCTTCCCAGCCCAGCCGGTAGAACCCTCCACCATCTTGCTTCCACATCAGGGCGGAATGACCTGCCGGACTCACTGATGATAAAGCTCCTTAATAAACAGTGTAAAAGTTGGTTGTATTAAAACAAGTCATTCATTTTACAGGTAAGGGTGGCTAAAAAGTTTTGTCAAAGAACAAAAATTTAGGCCACAAAGGGCTGGAGTATTGGCAAGTTGGAAGCTACCAGGGTATCGGTGGCCCATGGTCTCGTGTCTTTGGTGCACTTGCTTCATCTCAGCAGGATGTGCTGCCGAGGGGCTCACAGGCCTCCAGGGTGAAACCAGCAGGCCTCTGGCACTGCAAGCTAACAGCTGCTGCGGCAGGCACTGTCGCCCCCGGAAGGAGAACGGGGGCAGGCTGCAGGAGTCCCAGGGAGTGGCCATCAGCATCGGAGTGCCTGGAGGCGGGCAGGAGAGGAGCCTCACCCCTCAACCCCTGCCCCAGCCAGCTGTGCAGGCTGGGCATTTTGTTCTCTGGTTCAACTAATTACTCAATAACACTGCCTCCAGACTGTGCACAGTTTAAAGGGATATCACATGGTTTGGACGCATACCAATGATGGAGAGACACTTTTATGCATTGACCACTATATTTACAACCTCACCTGCTTATCATCTTTAGAGACCATCTGATGGATGATGATGATGTGGCTGTGACTATTTTTAGGCATTTGGCAAAATATACTTGTGTGTAACAGCTGCTTTCTTTTATTTTAAAAATGTTTACATATGTACAATTCTCCTTGTATGCTGATATAAATATGAAAAGTAAAAAAAAAAAAATAATTAAGATACATGTTCAGAGTTAGCATATTGGATATTGGCCTCTCAAAGCTTTAAAGTCCTGCAGACAAATCCTAGATGCCTTAGCCCTGCATGCTAGTTTCTATTAGGGGATGTTGTTTCCTTAAATGTGGAAATTGCAATAAACAGAAGTTTCATGCACATAGCATTACTGTCTACAATTAGGATGTGCTTCAGAATGTCAGTTCTGAATCCACTATTGTCCCTTAGGAAACTTGCCACATTTGGGTCATGTGAGTTAACTTTAGTGATATTTCTACATATATCTGTCATGCGGATTATCCAGGAGCATACCAGTATGTTTATTGTTCCCCTGTTATAGTGTAGCATTTCAGTAGTTCTTTCCAGGGTTCACTTAGATCCTAAGCCAATGACAAAAAGAAAATGGTACCCAGATGTGAGACTCGGCTTCCTCTCCTCTGGGGCATCTCAGAGGGTCTTTGTATTGTCTGAAGAGCAGATAGATTTGCAGTGATTCCGTGAGGCTGGGTTTCTATAAAAGTTGAAGTAAACAGTTTTGATGTATCACATGTAAACAGTGGATCTTAAATGGAGGTCTCCCATAGCTGCACAACAGAGAAAAGCAAAATTGCACACTGTGAAAGCAGGAAAAAGGCACATTCTGAGCTATGAAGATGAAAAAGAGTTCGGTGATTCCATCCATACTTACGTGGTTGTGGAAGCACACTCTTGTAAGTCGAATAAATGGATACAATAAACACTCTCAGTTTTAGCTTTCTCTTTCCTCTAAACCTGTGCTCAACCTTTTTAGCAACTGCCACCTTTTAATATAAAACCCCTCACATCTTCATTTAATGTTACTCAAGAATTTGAATAAATTAAATATTACATCACCAATGAAATAATTTAAAATGTTATTTTTTAAAACCACGCACGCTCGTCTCTTCCCCAGGATCCTGATAAAGCTCGCTAGTGCAGTGGTTCTCAACCCAGCAGCACATTTCAATGATCTGGGGAGGTTTTTAAAAATCCTACAGCCCAGACAGCACACCAGACCAGCTAAATCAAAATCTCTCTGGGTGGGACTCTAGCATTAGCCTAGTTTAAAAGCCCTTCAAACAATTCCCATGTGCAGCCAACACTGAGAAGTACTGACCTTGGGGAAGTGTGCTTCTGTCAATTCCGCCACCAACCACTTAGAAATCTCTGCTGTGTGCCTACGGCCAGGCCATCCGCTCTCCAAATCCATCACTACCTCCTAGAAGACTGTCCTCTCTCAGGAGACCCATCAGAGTAGAATGATGCACCCAAGGCAGGATGTCCATTCTTTAATTCCCTCACCTCTTGCCTCTGCCACCAGGTCTGTAGCCTGGTCCTGTTCATATCTAATTTCTACAATGTTCAGTAATTGCTTTAATGTACGGTAAACAACCTTGGCATGATGAAATAGGAATGCAAATCCGTTCACCAGAGGACAGCCAATTTAAAAAAAAAAGGGGGTGGGGGAGATCAAGCTGATAAAATTTTGTTTCCAGGCAATATGATTTGGGTATACTTTTATAAACATGAACAAAGAAAGTCTAAGACTGGTGTGACTTAAATTACATCCAAATTCCATTTTCACTGAAAATCTGGGGCATGTCATTGTATATCTGAGTTTCTGGGAAAGAAAAAGCAAAAACAGCTAAGGGACTATGTGGATGTTTCCGTATAGGCTCCCTTAATAGGTTCTCTTGATTCTGCATGGAAATCTTGTTCTGCATACCCATGATGGCTCCAGCCTCCACAAGGACTGTGGTAAAGCCGCCTGGGTTCTCACCCTTTGGAGACCAAACCTCTCAAAGGTAAGGATGTTTGTGTGTGAATGACCCCTGTTGGTGGAAACTAGTGAAAACAAATGGTTAAATGGGGCGTCTGCAGGGTGCCTAAGGGAAAGAGGATCTGGACTGATGCTCAGATGATGGTATGGAGTAGTGAAGGGTTCAGACTTCAGCTTCAGTGAGCCCAGCGTTCTTACAAATGATTATAAAAAGTAGTGACAGCTTGCGGAAAGGGGAACAAAAGGATAGCACTGGGGGAACCAGAAGATCACCATTATCCCAGGGAGGAAAAAGGAGCAAAGAATTGCCAAGCCATCACTTTTAGGAACAGACATGACTGGCCATTTCTAGGTGGAGGGGATGCTCATAAAAAGATCTCCTTGTTTGATTCTCCACAGCCCACAAAGACAGCCCAGAGACAAGGGCTGCCTACTCTGCAGGATTCTGCTACGTGCTCCTGTGGATATTCATGGTGGATGGAACCATCTGACCTTTCACACCATTGTCCCAGGGAAGAGGCCAAGGGCCAGCCACTACTTCTGGGAGCTTCCACTTTCATGGGCTTTCACGTGGGAACATTAATAACCTGCAGCCTGGCATGACATCGGCTGAGAGAATATCCCCAACTAGATAGAGTGATACAGCAATGTAGACAATTTATCAGAGGTAAAAACTGGGCTGTTATACTTTGACCACTCCCTGAGGAATGCCATCAGCCTTGGATTTCGTTACAACATACTCACATCATGGACAACTGGATGCCAATTAACAATTCTGTTTTTTTAAAACCAGAAAGCTGAGTGCTGGGAATCCGAATTTTCTTCTTATTTTCCATCTTTTACCATTACCCGTGTTAACACAGGAAGACAATGCTTCATGTAATTAACAAAACACCACTGACTGGTTTTCAAGTCTTTTTGATTATAGTAATCTAGTCTGCTTTTTAACAAGTTGTGTTTTCTTACTATGAGTTGATCGAGGTAAAATTTGAATGATCTATGATTACCTTGAACCCCATTATTTAAGTTCAGGATCAAAGAGTCTCTGAAATATCTTTCAAAACCAAAAATCCTAGGAACCCAAGACCCACTAGCAGATAAATCTGCCCAGGCTTTTAAAGCTTTTTTATTTTATTGCAAAATTATTTCTGAGAAGAACCACATTACACTGTAACTGACCACAACAGAGTCTGAATATCAATAAAAGTAATTATTCTTTAGTTATATCTTTCACTTAAGCCTCTGAGGGCTGGTCTGCCTCTCTAAACTCAACTCTATCTCCATTTCACATAATGGATGTGTTCCAGGAACACTGTGAGGCTGAGTAGATCCATAATTAAAGTATAAAAGAGGACTCAGTATTTCAAGAAACTTCTGGCACACCTGAAACTAATATAACACTGTGTGTAACATATGCTAAATTATATTACTATATTATACTAATATAATTCCTCAATAAGAAAATAAAATAAAAAGGAATTGGTTCTTCTATGCGAAGACCCAATGACAAACTAAAAAAAGTAAGTAAATAAAATAAATAAAATTTCTGATGAACCATATTTTTATATAAATAACAAACTTCATGGGGCACCTGGGTGGCTCAGTCGGTTAAGCGACTGCCTTTGGCTCGGGTCATGATCCTGGAGTCCTGGGATCGAGTCCCACATCGGGCTCCCTGCTCAGCGGAGAGTCTGCTTCTCCCTCTGACCCTCCCCCTTCTCATACTCTCTCGCTCTCTCATTCTCTCTATCAAATAAATAAATAAATAAAAAATCTTTAAAAAAATAAACTTTTACGTGTTTATAAATCTGGCTTTCTAAAATATAAAAGGTTGCTAAATTTTACCATACACTTTGCCATATTTTTTTTTAATATTATAGATTTTCATATGTATCCAAATTCATTGTATCCAAATTCCATCCTTGTATCCAAATTCCATCCCGTCTCCAAGACACTGGTCTAACTTTCTATCAGAGGTTCTGATTTCTAAAGTCCTATTGGGTGTTATTTGCCAGTAAGAGGAAGTAAATCAGACATGGAAATGAGGTTCGTTTATTTAATTTCTGGCATTTCCAGGTATATTAAAAAACTGATAAAGCAAAATACATTCTCTGCTTTATTTCAGACTGTAATATATTAGCTACAACGTATAATAAAAGTTACATAGCAATGAATGATTAAAACATACCAAATATCTCTAGCATTTCTCAATGCAGTAATTAAGCTCATTTGCAAAAATAAATCTGAGCCCCCCCAGATCTTCCATTTTTCAATGGAATCTTGCAAATCTTCCTTTTTTTTTTCATTTTTTTATAAACAGAACAGGAAAGATGGCTCTTTTAAACTATGAACTCATAAATGAACGATAATGATCAAGGCTGTTAGCATATAGCAGTTTCCACATACCCTGGCACTTTGTCGGTTCACTTTCTTCTCTTCGTCAGGAAGTGGAGGCATTGGGTATGGGTATTTTCTGCTGGAGGCAATAGACCCAGTTGATGAAGAGGGAGACTTGGCAGGAGACAGAGTCCTGAGACGTTGAGAACACATGACATAAATATTATGTGATTGCCTAACATCTTTTTCAAATATCTGAAAAGTGGGTTCAGAACAAACCCTCTGATTCCTATTTTCACAGGCCACTAGTGCAAAGGTTTAGCTATGGGGAGATTCTCTGTCCTTCACAACACTGGAATGCTGGAATTTTACCTTCCTAATGTCATAACTGCAATGGACTGTTCACATGTTAGCACACAGAATCAGACTCTTCAACTAGAAAGCCAATAATGACATTTCCTACACAAATAGATAAAAAGCTAAAATGGAGAAGGGATAAAATGATTCTAAGAGCTCATAATGGTATATTAAGTGTACAACATATTAATATTCTGCCTTATTTTTATCACTTAATGTAAAAAATGTTTTAGTACAGTAATTCCAGTTATATTTTTAAGATCTGAAAATATAATACAACTGATACATTTATTAGTTGCTAAGTCACACACCAGTTCACACAAAACTCATGCATTCAGAGGCCAGTGTGTTAGTTGTGAAAGAACAAAGGCAAATACGGGGGTTTTAATAATAAATTAGTAAACATGCAAGCAGTAAGGAGTGCAGAGTTCCAGCCAAACAAAGAGTCTGATGAGAACACACAAAAATGGTCTGATTAGTCCCTACAACCAGCATTTCTGTACAGGGGAGGATTCTGTGCCATCAAAGTAGATCTTAATAATGCATGGAGGGTACACTCGTCCTGTCAATAAGGTGGCTACACCTTATTGACTGGAATGTTACTGAAACTAAAACAAAACACAACAGAAACCCTCCCTATTTAGATAACATCTCCGTCGTGAAGATATCCCCTATGAAAGAGATGTGCAAGCTACGCTGTATTATGCTGTTCTTGTTTGATTCTGCACATGTAGCGGCAATATTTGTGACTAGGCTGAGCTCACAGGAAGAGCCCACATCTCTTCCCTTGTCCTTGAAGTGGAAAAAGGAAAAAAAAAAACAGCCGGGAGTTTTTCACTCGCATCGTATCAATGGGAAATAGAGGTGCTAGTTTTGGCAGTACCTACCCATTCACAAATGTTACCACTACACATCCATGACTGCTCCGTTCTGCAGCAAGGTGGCTCTGAGCCACATCGCGGAAGGGGTTACTTCCGAAACGGGTCCTTACTGCCGGTGGAGGGGGCGGGGGGATGCAGCTCATCCGCTGGGAGTTTAGGCGGGGGAGGGGTGTGCGCTGGGCAGGGGCAGAGCCACCGCACTGCATGCAACAGCATCAAGAGGTCTCTTTTTTTCCCCCTTATTCTAAATTTTGGCTCCCAACCATATGTTATGCTTTGCTCTAGTTCTGTAGTTTTCAAATCAGTTCCCATCTATGGACACCAAATGTAAGTTAAGGTTTGAAAATATTTTTTCCTACCAGCCCTGAGATCCAAGTGAACGTTCTTACTCAATTTTAAAAAATCAATAGTGGCTTAATTGGCTTTTAATCTGTAACTCCTAACATTTCCTGTTTTTGGAAAACGTCTAGGACCACTTCTTAGCGTGGACTGTTAGAATATTACAGATACTTGACCTCTCTTGTGATAATGCTCTCCACCACAGAGCCGATGGGTAAAACTAAGAATATAAGTACTTCAGGTCCTCCGAAGGGCTATTAAAGCAGTGTACTACTGAAGATTTTTCTAATTCAAAAATTAAGGATGTTTTTAATTTTAAGAAAACATTTCCAATATGACCGTGACCTTTAGGAAACAAATTCAGTATGTGTAGAACGAGGATAAACTTTTGTACTTAAATACATCTTTCTAAAACAAGGGATAGTAACCTGGCTTCAGATTTTTAGCCTCATCACTACTGGTTAAGATGTCCAAGTTCAGGAAAGCTCGTCAGGTACACCAACAAAGAACTAAATCTTGTTTACTTTAGGGGATCTGCAAAATGGGTCTTTTTAATTTGCTACAGTGTGTATGTGTCCCTAGCAAGGCCGTAGTCAGCTGGCTTATAGCTTCCCAGACACGCCAGCCATTCACTTGGCCAGGAGTCCAAATGACCAGCTTTGCACACATACCAGGCCATTCCAATGAGAGGTGCTGAGTTTGTCTTTCCTCCAAATATTTTTTGCATGGCCAAATCCAATACTGAGTGAAAACAAAAGCAGGAGATGTTCTCCAGACCTCCCCAAGAAATCTGCACCTGTCTACCTCTCACATGAAGACACCAGTTAGCTGACACTGTGGACTGAGCCTGAGGGGAAGAGAAGGCAAGCAGCGTGATTTTAGTAGGGGCGAGAGGCATCGTGTCCTGGAGGTTGGGCAGTGTGTGACAGCATAACAGGGATTATCTGGAGGGGATGTTCAGCCTCCGAATGAGAGAGCAGAGAACAAGATAGAGTAAATCAGTTGAGGGAAATACAAACAAAAATTTGGTCACAGATGTCTAAGAGAGTCATTTCTTGAAAACTGCCTCCAGGCCCTTTTCTGGCCCTGGCTACTTGCCTGCTAGCTCCAATCTGGCTTTCACTGAAAACCAGGCAAAGGCCCAGCTCATTCACTCACAGAGTCATCTTTGAACCAGTGTTAACCATTGTCATTACAGCACCTTTAAAAACCGTAATAAGCCTAGTGGGTGCCATTTAAGGTTACACAATGAAGGTGTGCCCGCGTGCCAGTGGATTGTGGTCTGTCCTTGCTGGGCCGGCCTTTTGCAGACATGCCTGGAAGCCAAGCTCAGCTCCCTTCTGCCCCCCAGACGTGGCTGAAACCAGGCCCGTCACACGTGAGAGGCACAGGTCCCCCTTCCTCCCTTGTTTGGGTTCAGGTGCAGATTTTATAGGAGCCTAATCCAGAAGGATTTATAAAGCGTCCTAGAATAGGATTTAAGTAGTCCATATCCACCCCGCTATTCTTAAGTATTACAGCGAAGTGGAAAGGGAATAGATTTTGGAGTCAGAGCCAATCTGTTAATTCTGGTTCTGACACTTACTAGCTGTGCTACCCTGAGTTACTCTGTGTGCCTCAGTTTCCTCCATCCGTAGAAAGGGAGTAAGAATGCCTCCATCTCATGAGGTGGTGAGAAATAAAGGTACATGGTAGGCACTCAATACAGGATAATTATTATTAGTTTCTTTTCAGAGTTACTGCATTTTCCATAAGATCATGGAAGTGGGACTCAACAACTTGATGAAGAGAGTAATCAAATGCATAATACTCGAGTGGAAGTTGAGTATTGAGCTTGTAAAAGCACTGTCACCAACTGCCCCCAAGATCTAGGTGTGGGGAGATAATGCTCTTGCCCAGCTTGATGCGAATATATGCTGGCAATCCTTTGAGCAACCACTGTGTGATACAGAACTAGGCGAGGGAGCACAGCTGAGGCATTATGATCACTCAAAACCTTTCGGCATTTGCTTTGCTCTTCGCAGTGATGTGGATATAATATTTTAAATGCCGGGCTGTACTCTGGACCAGTTTACTGCAGTCACTACGTCCCCACTGCATTCTGATAAGGAGGCCACAAACCCCATACAATATGGACGATTAATAAAATGGCCTTTACCCTCATCGGTGGTTTTGGCAGGGGAGGTAATCCTGAACGACCTGGTGGCTGATGAAGCAGATCTGAGCTTAAGCAGAGGGTTGGCAAAGCATAAGCCAAGGTGCAGATACACTTCGGGCCTCCCTATGTAAGGACTGGCTTGGATGAAGGGTGGATGAAATTCTGTTGTGTGAGAATCACTGTTAAAAGCTCTGGGGTATCTTAATGATTCACGAGTTTCACAGGAATTGTGTGTTGGTTTTCAACTCTTACCAACATAACCCTGATTAATCCTAAAATGACAGTTCCATTATAAACCTCCAGCGAATTCTATCTAGCCTTTAAATACAAATATGGATTTTAACAATTCTTTTTTTTTTTAAAGATTATTTATTTATTTATTTGAGAGAGAATGAGAGAGAGCACATGAGAGGGGGGAGGGTCAGAGGGAGAAGCAGAC